TTGTTCACTGACACTGCAATTTTGGACTCTTACCTTTAGTTTTTGTTGGGTTAAGAATCCACACAGCATCTCCAACTTTTTATATTTTCGAGCATTGATCTTATCATCGTATTGTCGTTTTTGTCTGTCGCTGGAGGCAATCATTTTATCGTATTGTCGTTTGTGTCTGTCTCTGGAGGCAATCATTTTATTCCAAGCTATGGTATGAACTCTGAAAATATTGGATAGGAATTCTTTTAAATAATCGTTACTGGAATCAGTATCGTTCTCAATTTGAGGATGTAGACCGTATATCTAATCTACCGGGAATTCAATTTCCCGTCCAAACATTAACATACTGGAGAAAATCCTGTACTTTCATGCACAGAGGTACGTTAGGCCATCATTGCCAAAGATAAATGCATATCCCAGTCTCTGGTCTTTTCTATAAATTTGCTCAAAATATTTTCTATTGTCCTATTAAGTTGCTCCACCATTCCGTCACATTGTGGATGTAGACGGCTTGTAAACAGTTTTGATTCAAACTGTCTACCTTGGTCTATGTGTAACTGTTTGGGTACACCAAAACGACAAATAAATTATATATATATGAGAAATGGTTAAGGCCTCTTGGTTTGGCATAAGGTATGCTTCGAGCCACCTAGTGAATAATCTGTGATCATAGCAGGCAGAGGATCAAGAATGTCCGATGCAACACATTCTAAAGGTGCTCCTACTGAATACTGTTTCTTTGCCCCCTCCCTTTTGACCGTTTTTATGGACCCTTACGTGAATTGCATATTTCACACTTTTTCCACCACTGTTCTATATTTTCTTTATATCCTGCCCAATAAAATATGCTTAAAACCCTAGCAAATGTTTTGTGAACCACAAAATGAAATACCTACTGAGTTATCATGCAACATTTAAAAGATTTCCATCCTTCCAATATGAAGGAACAGGAACCGCTTTTCGTCACTCGCTGATTTCATTTTCCATATCAGCTTTATCACTTTATAATTTGTTTTGTGCTTCTGCTATTTTATTTGTGTTCTTACTTTGTTAGACTTGGTTGCTTCGTTCGAATTTTCAATATCGACCTTTTTGCCTTGTAACTTCGATAGGTCTGCAATTCTAGTTACCCTTAAGTGACAATCGACAACATCAGATTCATTATTTTTACTTTCTTTTGAGTCCTGGTGACTGCAATGAGTACAGTGGTTACAGGGTCGTCGTGAAAGTCCTATTCCTGAGAAAGCACTGCTGGTCAAAGTCTGATCCCGTTTGCGTCTGTATCTAAGGAATGACCCAGGAAAGTAAACTTTTTCTTGCAATAATTGACATTTCTTTTGAGAAATTTTCAATCCTGCTTTTCAATCTTTGATATTACCAATTCTTACCATTGGATGTGCTGATCAAAAGACTCCAATAAGATAATGATATCATCTAAGTACAGTAAACAAAATATGCCAATTCAAGCATGCTACGAAGCACTCCATTAATTGTTTGAAACTAGGGCCTGCATTACAAAGACCAAACAGCATATTGCGGAACTGAAAGAGTCCTTGCTCTGTGACAAACGCAGTCTTTTCTTTATCACCTGGGTCAACTTGGACCTGCCAGTTACAACTTTGAAGGTCGATAGTAGAGTACCAGGAGCCGCTGGTTTTGTTTAACCGGAGCAGCATCCCTGTCTGTATCGTGTGGTGTATAAGATCAGTACAACTTATGTCATTTTTGACTTTGCGAACGCATTACTGTGTGTCTGTAGCAATCTTGAAATTGTATTGTATGCGTCTCCGAGAGCAACTTGCTTCTTGCTTTATATAAGTCTATCAGATCATCTGGTAATCTGTCATGTTCGTTGTCTTATCTGTAAGATTGAATACATTTAGACTGACAGCTTAGGGTCCGCATACTGATTTTGTAACATCTGTATATGCTTGACATTCAGCTAAACTTGTATTCTTTTGAGCCGTGCTTTTTCAAAGTTACTTGTATGAGCAATCTATAAAAAGATTTGGCCTTGATTAGGATCGACTTAAGATCTAGCGACTAATGAATTGTCTGTCGTGACAACAGGCTCTACTGTAGCCTGTACTATATGAAAGGAATCTTCTATCACTTTTGTAGATAACAACACTTTCGATGTTGGGGATAAAACTGTAGTTTTTTTTGTTGCAAGCCTAAAAATATTGATCATATTACTCTCTTTTTGACATATAATTTCTAAAACTTTACTGCCAATGGTTATTTTACTTTCTCTTAGTTTAAGTTTACAATATTTGTTATAACAAAAAATTAGCTGACTATAGCGAAACGCGCGTCTGGTGTACAAAACGTTAAGCCTGGTATATATGATGGGTTTATAGCAGAGGCATCGGTATTTGCAATTTCAAATCGTTGTTGAAAATGTTAATCATTGATTTCAATATTAAAGTCGATTTGTCCGAAAGTTTTTATTATTTCTCCATTTGCCGAAATTGTACTTCCTTGTAAATTGTTTGGCCTCTGTTACTCCGGAATAGACAAAAAATTTCTGACATGAATAACTGTCAAGGTAGAACCGGTGCCTCTCAAACAATTTACAAAAAAATCCATTAAGTTTTATCTTAAAGTACAAACTATCGTATATTTTATTGTTTAATTTACATTTTTTGTGTGGCCCGTCATTAAAATTAAAATCGGCTAAAGGAGGACCTGCCTCTGTAGCCATTAGTAGTTTCCCAATTTTAATAGTTCCTGTCTGTGTCCCCTGTAAGTATTTTGACGTTTGGAACATGTTTGTTCTGCAAATCTAGAAACTTTCTGCAATCTCTTATAATACCCCCATTTATGCACAAGTAGCATGAAACTTTGACTTTTGTGATTGATTCGGACCTCGCTTACTTTTTATCTTTGCTAGTCTATTTGTGATGATGTTCATCTGTTGACAATCATTTTGCTTGCCTGAGTCCATGATACCTGTTTGCATTCGTAAACCATAGGGATTATTAAGTTTCTGCATGTGTCCGTTTGCTAAAGCCTCAAATTCGAACCCTATTCTTACGCTGTCAGTTATTAAAATAGGCTTCCCCTGACAAATTGCCACTCTTAGTTTGCCTCATTTAGAGAATCTATGAACCAATCCCTGGCTAACTGCTCATAAACCTCCATAGGGACAGTCGTACTTGCTAACCATGTTAATCTTTTGATATCCTGAGTGAATTCAGGAAGTGACTGACTTTTTTCTCGTGTTTAATTTTTCATCTGCGCTCTACATAGTTCAGCCTGATTGCTTGTCTGAATTCTCGAAGCAAGGGCTGTCACTAAATGAGTGAATATTCTCCTGATAACTGGACTTAAACCTGTATATGTGTATGTTATGTGTGCTGTCGCATGTGCATTCGTCCAATATCCTTTCTTTTTTCTTTTAACTAGCCTATATGGTTTTATAGACATTTTTATGACACAAGACTAGATTACAAGTTTAGCCTCAATCTACACATACACCGATTTTCACTGGAAATTGAAGAAATTACAATCAATCAAACAACCGAGACAAAACCGTCAACACTAAGGAAATAGAAACGTAATTCGCAGGAGGGATTCTTAAGTCGGATATTTTGAAAGAATCTAACACCAATAAAGTTTAAATATTTTTATATAACAGTCATGTTTTTTTTTCATTATGTTTGTACGTTAAATACATGTACATATGTTTTGATACATATAATACGTTTATATACTGATTAATTTTTGTTTGCTTAACGTCCAGTCCCAAATATCTCGTGCATATTCAGAATGAGAACAAACTAAAAATATCTTAAAGGAAGGCTCTTCAAAGTGGGCGACCAGGATGAAAGGCTGGACATTTGGATTGTTTATAAAAAACGAGGGCATATTTGATAAGGGCAGCAGAACCTTTGTTTTGCAATGTGCCACCTAGTACCCTTCGAAGAGTAGTTTAAAGGATATTGTAAATTGCAGACAGCGTATATGACACTCTCATATACTCCCAAACAAGTAATTGGATTTAACATCCCCATTCCGACCGGACGAGGCTGCGTATTTATACACCCCGCTCATACAAATGGATGCCCTCTGCAGGCGAATCAAACCTCTTAGACTGAGAAACTTTGACCCATTTCAATAACCATGTGTTCTTTTGGGAGAAAGTCTACCTACTGCCTTTAACCTCCTCCTTATAAAGCATTCTTTGTTGGGTATTTATATATTGTATTATTTTATAGAAACCATCATGGGTGCAAAATCATTTATCGAATTAGCAAGTAATGTAATTGCAAAATTATGTCTTTTTAGATAAAGCGTCTGTTAAAGGGGCATTAGCTTCGAATTAGACAAAACAATAAAATATGATTTATTTGTTTTAAACATTTATAAAAGCGAAATATAGAAATATTATTTTACAAATACAGTTCAATTTAGTCAAAAAATACTAAAACATCGCTGAGGTATTATTAGCTTGCAAGTCAATAATTCAACCGCATTTGAATCTGTATTCATGCAACCTTTGATTCAAACCTTAGTGGAGATGGGTTGCTCATGTGTTCAAGCATGTCGTCAGCGTGTTCATTCGTTAAAAAGAAAAGAATGTCAACAATTGAAACAAGGAATAACCATTTTTGTTAACTGATCCGGTCTACAAAAAAATCGTTTTTTACATATGTTTTTAATCTAGAACATAAAATCAGACCTAGAAAAATCATCATTATACGATTACACGTGTTGTCTGTCTACTTATACTAATATTTATGTTTATATCGGGTTAAATGACCATCGAAGATCTTCGGGGGTCATTTTTATGGATAATTTTGGATAGATTGCGTCTTGTCTATAATACGCACGAATTGCTGATACAAAATAACGAGTCCATGTTTTGTTAATTGTTGCTTTTGGACTTTCTGTCATTTGGATATTTAGTATGTTATAAATATAAGATAAAAGAATTGGGGTCAAATCGGAAAACATGAATTTGACATTAGTCCCTTTAATATTCAATAGAATACTTTCATTATTAGGAAAGCTTTCACTAGTGCATGGGATAATGTCTGGGAAAACGGAGGTGGTGATCGTAGCTATAGATTAGCTAATGCGGGCTACCAGGTAAGTATATATATATACATATGAATATATTAAAGGAAGGTAAACTTCACCTTGAACCGGTAGGATTATAAAAAAATATGCTTATATATGAATGTAGAAAAGATATCAAGAAAATGCAAATTCAAATATTTGTTCTTAAAACAATAAGGCCGCTGGAAGCTTTTTGCATGAACCAATTTAGCGGTTCCCTCCGAGTATATTCGTGAATTCAAGCAAAGAATAGTGTATCTAAATATATACAATTCCTTGTTTAAAGCTATCAACCATAGACCATTTAAATTCCATCAGAATTTCTCGATTTTTTTTCATTGAATCATACATGTTGTAACAGTAACTGTAAACGTCTTTGAAAACTGTCCCAGTACGCTAGGGATTCTTAAATGGATTAAGGCTTTGTGGTCGTTGATACAAATCAGCATTAAAAAATGAATGGGTCTATGAAAACACATGCTACATCAATCTTTAAAAACCCAAATGCACCAGTCCTACCTCCATGTCAAATATGCCATTTTCACCGTAGATAAAGCCCAAACAACATAGTTTTTGTGTGTAAATCACATTACATAAACTGCTTGATAAATGAATTAGGTATTGACAATTACCTTGGAAATTCAACATATACCCCCCCCCCCCACGACACTTACCAAGAAGAAAATCCTGGATAATAATAGGTCTGATCTATGTTCCTTTGGAATTTCAACCAAAGATGAAGAACTGGATCTTCCTTCATTGTATTGAATACTAGTACTTAAACGATATATGTGTCCTTACAAATAACGTTATATTGTTGGGTCTTCCAAGTGCTCTATGAAACCTCTTTGTTACTTATTAACAACAATTTCATCAGCAATGAAATCCGGGCTTCAAAGTAATTTTGAAACTACCTTTTCTAGAGTGGCGTGAATCAGTTGTTGGTACTAAAAAAATCAAAAGAGTACATACAAACTTGGACTCTTTCATCTTGCAATAGTATTAAAATATTTTAGCTTTCTAAACTTTACACAAGTATTCCCAATTCCAAACTAAAAGACAAATTGAAAGAATTGGTTCTGCTTTGTTTTCTAAAAAGAATGACCAACGTAGAAAGAAGTATCTTGTCTTGCGGAGGGATAAAACATACTTTGACATTATCAAGCTGCTTGATTTTTTGGTTGACAACATATTTGATACGTTTTTCGGCAAACAATCGGCATGCATATGGGAACCAACTGTGATCCTCTTCTTGCCGACTTTATCATTTATTCATATGAGGCCGACTTTAATAGAGGAGTTTCTTAGGAAGAATGAAAATAAGCTATCATTATTTGACTTCGCTTTCCGCTATATGGATGATGTCCTCTCACTAATAGAAAATGAATTCAAAGTTGGTTGACTATACTGAACGCATCTATCCCATCGAACTTGAAATAAAGGATACAACAGATACAGTTAAGTCTGTCTCAGATCTTTGCCAACATCTAGAAATTGACAACAAGGGTCGGTTGAGAACAAAACTTTCGACAACGAAATGATTTCAGCTTTCCAATTGTGAACTTTCCATTTCTATGTAGCAACATTCCGGCAGCGCCTGCAAATGAAGTATATATCTAACAACTGGTACAACATTCCAGAGCTCGCATTTCCTATCATGATTACCTTGATAGAGCTCACAGGGAAGCTATTAAACCATGTGTTCCAAGTGGTGAAGTTGAAATCATCCCTTCGAAAAAATTACGGACAACATCACGAGTTGGTTGACCGTTATGGAATATCTGTTTCACAGATGGCGACGGATATGTTCCAAATGTGGTAACCACAGTCCCGTCCTCTTTTCGTCGAATGTGACCTACTGAAATAGACTCATCACCGGGTTTGTGCTTATATAATCAACACGACGGATTCGACAAGTAGGGCAGGATCTGCTTACTCTTCCGAAGCACCTGAGAGTATCCCCAGTTTTTGGTTCGTGTTGCTAAGATTTATTCATTTGGAGAGCACACTCGGCTTGTATTGAAGTACAATCCCGGAAAATCTATTTTATCTAGGGATAATGAAACACCCACCTGTTTGACCCTCTTATATCTTAGGTTGTTACTGACAATAATGGGAAAACAATTGTAAGAGTTATGTAATTTTTATCTTTGTCAGCTTAATCAAAATATGTTATTAGCTACGTGTGTACGTTGTCGAAAAAAATGATCATTAAAAAAATCGATAGTAGGACATGAACAAATTATGTACCTCTATAAAAAGGACCACATAAGGGAAGCAAAGTGATTTCGGATAACACAAAAAAAAAAAAAAAGATCAAAATGTATATAATTATGTATGCATCTCAAAAAAATTTTTTGAGACAAATTCGATATACTTCCATTCAACCTTTTACAAAACTCCTCGGTGTTCTAAGTAGATATTAATGAATTTATAATGTCCAGTCCAAATAGGAATGTGTGTGATCCCCATAACATTTGTGACGGTTTACATGGTAAGAAATGAATACAACACTTTGTACTTCGGTACTGGCATGAAAATACGGATTTTGTGTTATTACAATTTGCTGTTACAAAATTTTTGGAATTATTTAAAATTAAGGAATGTATCTCTCTCATGCAAAGCTCTGATTCCTTGCCCGGCTTTGGCTATACCTTTTTTTCCTTTTTGGTTAATAGCTCTTCATCCTTTTAATAAGCTTTGGATTTTCAAATATTTTGGCCACGAGCATCACTGAGGAGACATTGATTGTCGAAATGCGCATCTGGTGCAGAAAAATTGGTACCGTTTATGTTATTACAACCACTAGGTCGATGCCTCTGCTGGTGGACTGATAGTCCCCGAGGGTATCACCATCCCAGTAGCCAGTACTTCGGTACTGGAATGAAAATACGGATTTTGTGTTATTAAAATTTGCTGTTACAAAATTTTTGAAATGATTTAAAATTAAGGAATGTATCTCCCTCATGCAAAGCTCTGATTCCTTGCCCGGCTTTGGCTATACTTTTTTTTCCTTTTTGGTTAATAGCTCTTCATCCTTTTAATAAGCTTTGGATTTTCAAATATTTTGGCCACGAGCATCACTGAAGAGACATTGATTGTCGAAATGCGCATCTGGTGCAGAAAAATTGGTACCGTTTATGTTATTTATAAAAGAAGGCTACACTGTTACATAAAGTAAACACTTGCCTCCAATAAAACTTTAATAAAAAGATATATTCCACTAACCTTCGTTCCATATTTCGTGTATATTTTTTTACTTTAAACTTTACAACATGCAACATTTTTGGCTTAATGAGATCAACAATGATAGTGCATATGATAATATATGTACAAATGTACATGGTTATAAAAAATGAAATGAAAAATCTCCAGATGTGTATTTTTATATACATTTAATTACGCGCGCGTATTGAATGTGTATATGTTTAAAATATGTTCTAAAGAACGTTGCGTTTCTATATATCTATACACATAACCTTTGCCATTTAGATGAACATGTTAAGAAGTAGCACTCATTAAAACACAACTATATGTATTTCCTTTTGATCAAAATTGGACACACACTTCTTGTAAATAGTGTATTTAATTCAGTCCATGCACTCTCCAAAGCAGATAAAATGTGTTTTGTTGTACGTTTATATATATACGTTTGATTTGGTTGCAGATTCTTTTTTTTTTTTTTTTGCACTAGCTATTTCAGAATGAAACAGGAATCAAACCATTTAATAGATATAAAATGATCAAAACCTTTCGGTGGTCATTCTGCACGTATGAATAAAGCTTAATAATTTCATTTTTAAAGAATAGAGCTGATTGAATTTTAATGCTTTAATTGTTTCGTTTTGCAAATAAATAACATTTTCACATTTTAACAAATAAGAGGAAATGTGTGATATATAAGTCAATGAAACAGCAATTATTTCTCCAAAGGTTGAGAGAGAAAACAACCGGTCTGTCGTCTCGTATGTTTTCACCGATAAATATAGAAGTATTTCTTACAACTAATGCGTCATTTTCTGTAGATGATTAACCTAATCTTTATTCTGACACCAACTGCTATTAACAAACGTTGGTCATCTCTCATTGTTCTTTTACACAATAATGATCGATGCAAATATCAATCTACTGAAATAAGAAAACAATTATCCGAACTCAACACGTAAGGTTCACGATTGTTTTTTATTTTTTTAGTTAACGGATCATCATACGTTTCTTAATAAACAGTCTATTCCAGGAAGGTTATTGTCTATCTATGCACGTCAAGTGTCACTCTACATATAGATTATATCACTGCATTAAGTGGGATACAATATTTATTCACTCGAGACAGTTAAATTTTCAAATTTAAAACGCGAAGCTTGCCGAGCTTTTTTAAATATTGAAAATGTAACTGTCGAGAAAATTTGAGGTCATAATTGAATTTTAGTCAATATAGAACTGAGATCAAACGACCCACACGTTAGTTACATAAAAATAATCTACAGGTCAGGAAAAGGGTAAATCGGCTTAGAATTAGAGAAACAAATTTACAACTGATCTAAAAAAAATATAAATTTAACAAAATGTTTTATATTTTATTATTCCATTCCTGGTCTTGTTGTGCGATAACTTAGGCAACTTTGGTCAAATATGGGCAAAGTTGGAATGAACACCGAACAACAGATTTATTTTTAGCTCACCTGGCCGTAAGACGAAATGAGCTTTTCTCATTACTTGGCGTCCGTCGTCCGTCGTCTGTCGTCGTCGTCCGTTAACTTTTAAAAAAATCTTCTCCTCTGAAACTACTTTGCCAAATTTAAACAAACTTGGCCACAATCAATTTGAGATGGCTAAGAATAGAACATAGGGGTAAAATGCAACTTTTCCCATTATTTTTGAAATCCGCTATAAATAGAGGAAATCTGACAGGGGCAAATATGTTTAAAATGTTAAGTTCTATCTATTTTGCATTACGTCAAAACTGTTAGACGACTTATTATAGGAGTTATTGTCCTTTAATGACGATTTTTATCATTTTTTGCGTTATTGCCTAATATCTACAATTAATAGATAGAATCTTTAAAAAGCAAAAATTATCAGCACGACAGGACACAAGTAAGACTAAGTCATCATAGCCAAAATCTTCAGCCGACTCTTTATTTCAGTTTTAGCCCTTAAATGATATTTTTTAACATTTTTATGCATGTTATAGCTATTATCTTGTATCTATAATAGATAAATAAAAACTTTAAAAAGGAAAAATTATCAGCAAGATAAGATCTACAAATATGTCAACATGACTGAAATTGTCAATTGACTCTTAATAGAGTTATTCCCCTTTAACGATGATTGTTACATAAAAGTGGTCATTTTTTAAGATGCATTTGAGCGACACAGGCTCTTTAGAGCCTCTGGTTTTAGAATTCAACAAAATAGTTATCATTCATCCATGTCAGTGGTGCCTTAGTAACAAGTATATTTGTATCGGTTTGCAGGTTATACTTGCTTTAGCAACCCATTTATATTTCGACCATCCTTATGAACCTGATCCTGCTGAGAGAGGATATTATTGGGCAACAAGGTACACCGATACTAGAAAGGCATTTGGATTTATTCCAGATAATATATATGCTAATGCTGACGTGAAAAGAAATGGAGAACGATTGACGAAATCTGAGATTTGTGGAGACAATAGATGTTACGAATTGGAAAAACCGGAAAATATCATAGGTGAGTAATATGTCATGGACATTTTTTGGACCTTAACTAAGGTAATTTTCCGGTTATATTAGTTAGTTCATCTTATTGGTGTCTTCAACCTATGCCAACATTTGAAAAAAAATTATATGTTCCACACCATAAGAGTATATGGACCGTACGCGTACGGTGTGGACCGTATGCGTACTTTTTCAAAATACGCATACGGTCAGACTGTACGCGTACAGTCTGCCTAATTTTTAGAAGTTGGTCAAGTTTATTAGATACAAATGTATATACTGAAATTTATTTAAAAAATATAAAAAGTTCAATTGTAATTGAAATAAAAACTTGATATTTTAACTATTTAAAAATGTCACGTTAATTTAATCTGTTAATCTCCTGTATTTAGCATGTCAGTAATACATGAAATTGAATTATACTCACTGAAATTCAAGTTATCGGAAGTAAACATAATGTGGGATGAAAAGTTTGTAGAATATTTAGGAACTTTACTACAAAAACCGTCAAACCAGCTGTTTACTTGTGGGAAGACTGATAGAATTTAAAATGTTTTGATAAATGGGAAAAGTGATTCAGCGAGATTCCGACAATATGCTAAGGAAAAGAAATTCGCATTGATTAATTGAGTTTTAGAATGGAAAACGAACTCTGCATTCCCGCAAATGAGGGATTTATTTTTATTTAGTTTGCATTACGTATTAAATATTACATATTACGTTATCAACTTATTGTGATTTCCCCTATAATTCTTATATCCAATTTCGTACCAGACCGCCTCGGTGGTAAGAGTTTAGTGGAACAGTTTCATGACTCACTTCATAAACTGGCGGCATCAAAACGAGCAGATAAACCTGGCTCAGGATAGCTTGAGTGTCTGTATGAGATACAGCATTCACTACACACACAGTGCGATCTAGTATTAAAATGACGCCTTTTGAAGCTGTATTTGGTCAAAAGGCTAATGATGGCATTTGTGTAGGTTCACAAGAGACTGACGAGTTCATTGACGACGAAAAAGTAGAGTACATGTTTGAAGCAGACGGGAACCTAATGACTGACGCAGGTACAGACAACGAGACCGACTCACAGACAGAAAACGAAACCGACTCACAGGCAGAAAACGAGACCGACTCACAGACAGAAAACGAGACCGACTCACAGACAGAAAACGAGACCGACTCACAAACAGGAACTGTTCAACAAATCCGAAAACGACGACGAACTGAAACGTCAGAAATAGCTACTGAGACCTACGATGTTACAGACTACAGACCAACACAGGATGAACTCATGGCAGTTGATGATTTTATGATACTGAATGACATTATAGCTGACACTCCTGATGACAGAAACTGTACCATGACAACGGACGACGGACAAATGACGACTCACGATAGAAATCGAAAGATAGTGGAGAGAAATTATAAAAAAAACTGTTGAAAATACAACGAGAAAATATAATAAAAAAGTGTCGAAAACTAATGCAAAGATTGAACAAAGGTAGCTTTGTTACTGTAAGAATACCAGTTGTTGATAGGGCATCAGGGAATCTTCTCCGAGTATTATGTAGGGTTGATGATATAATTGGTAAAGATACAAGTTTGTACAAACTATTATGTGAATTTGGCATATTAAACTCTTGTTATGATATGGGTGATATAGAACTTTTGACACGCAAAATTGAAACTGCACATTGGAAAACAGAAGGAATTTCATTTCATGCTGCCGCAAAACAAGCAAGCTTTTGTCTTGCTAGCAACTGTTGCAAATGTAAAGGAAAATGCATGAACAAAACATGTAATTGTAAAAAAATCTGACGTTCTTTGTGGCACCAAGTGTCACCCTGGGCGAGAGTGCCAAAATAGGATTCAGATTGATAAATATGTAATTTCAATTGATTGAATTGTAATATTATTAATTTGTAAAACTCAATAAAAGATTTTAATAAATGTTTGTCTAAAATTAACCCATATGGTCCAAATACATGTATGGTCCAGCTCGTACTAGACCGTATACTCATACGGTCCGATCGTACATGTATGGGCGGACCATACGAGTATACGCATACGGTCCAGACCGTACGCGTACGGTCCAAATAATCATATGGTCTGGAACATATATTCAACCTATGCCTAAAAACAAAATACAATAGGTGTTGTTATAACAATTAATAATTAATTACAGGTAAAATACAGTCAGTATTTTAAAGCTTTAAAAATTACTCTTTAAGAATTAGAAACAACAGTTAAATACTTGCAATATTATGTTGTAGTAAATATGATATTTGAAAAAGATAGACAAAAATAATACAAAAGAACACTCATGTATGGTAAAAAAAAACCCAAACAGATATAAATAAAAAATTACAAAAATAACATAAAATAAAGTAAAAAAACACCTCTTTATTTGTGCTTTTTTTAATATACAAGATTTGTTCACGAATGACATGTTGCTGAGTCTCCAAGCTAAAAAGTGTATTAAATCTGATTTGTGTTCTATATTAAAATTGAAATTTTATTTTTGTAATCAGTGGATTCAATCAACACTGTGATAACTGGACACATTACAGAAAAGTCGGAGCGTCCCATGTAAAATGTTCATAACTCGAAATACATTTACATCAAAATTTAGATGTATACTCTTTATCTAAAAATTTATCGTTCTGAATGACCTTGGTGCTTATATGACTGTTCCATCATGGGCTAAGTGCAGTTTCCGGAGCTTAGTGCACTTAGGCGGTCTAGGTGGTGTTTAGACGCACCGTTTAAAAAGTAAAATAATAAAAATACCGAACTCCTAGCAAAATTCAAAACGGAATTCCCTTATCAAATGTCAAAATCGAAAGCTCAAACACATCAAAACAACTGTCATATTCCTGACTTGGTACATGCATTTCCTTAAGTAGAAAATGGTGGATTAAACCTGGTTTTATAGCTAGCTAAACCTCTCACTTGTATGACAGTCGCACAAAGTTCCATTATATTGACAACAATGTGTGAACAAAACAAACAAACATAATAGGTCAAAATGTCAAAAATAGGGGTACAGCAGTGAACATTGTGTTATAATCTTAAACCCTATAAAAACAAACAAATATGTCAACAAAGACATAACCCTGGTTCATCAACTTTCTGTTCAGACTGGTGACGTTTTATAAAATCTGAGTAGCAGCTGCAAGCTCTTGAATACCGAATGAGTTGGGAAATATATATCCCTTATACAGGTGAAATTGGTATATTGCTACTAAGTTTTGGGAAATAGACCAGTTTCACATAAGCGACTTATCAACGCTGATCTCGAAATCCTATGCGCGTTTGAGTTTAAATCCCGCGATAATTAACGATATCATACGTGACAGGGGGCTACATCAAATTGACTCTGATATTTAGCAACACAATAATAAATCAACTAATAATACACATCTCTCTCTCATGGTGTATGCTTGAGATTATTTAAGTTTAAGATATTAATAATCGTTTATTTGATTTACCAATTTAAAATAGAAAGATGTGGTATGATTGCAAACGAGACAACTATCCACCAGACCCAAATGATAGATGAAAGCAACTATATATCACCATACAGCCCTCGACAATGAAAATATCCATACCGAATAGTAAGCTCTAAAAGATCCCGACACAAAACAATTCAAACCTGAAAATAAGTCTTCTTGTTACTACTAGTTGTGTTTTAATATAAGCAAAATGGTTTTTAAAAAAGTATTAATCTTGTAATTGCTTTCTTTTGCCTACTGCGCTATGTACATTGCAGAATATCAGTTTGATTTTTCTTGAAAAGAGAAAAGTATTTGATAATAAGAAAATACATTTAATTTCAGTTCTGTTCCAGTATCAATTCGCAGTTTTTCTGGAATATTTTTTTGCATCTTCGGCTTGTGACATGCATGTAAAGAGGTTACGGCCTACATATAGGTTTAGTATCAAAGACTCGAACTTTTAATTTTCTTTAAAAAAAAACAGGTTACTATATATTATGGTGACTTTTACGTGAAATTTTATGGGTACAAGGACAAGTTACCGGCATTACTAAATAATCGAAATTTCCACTTATAGTAGTATGGAAGTGTAAACCAGAATTGTTAGAATTTGTCCTTATATCCTTTGTCAAAGATGTAGTATATATTGTGATATGTTAAAAATACGAAAAACACAATGATAGGTCACCGAGCTTTGTTCTTAAGCTACAGGCTGTAAAAATATGAAACATTTTGTATGGACTATACAGAGAAAAAATTTTAAGGTATCATCATATGAATATTTGAAGGTAAAATGAATGATAGAATATCAAAATAAAATGTGGGAAGATATAGCTCTTATAAAATGCTTTCAGAATACCAACAGAAAAATTGACATGTAGTAGACAGGGCCTCGGCCTCGGCTCCGTGTTGAAGACCGTACTGTGACCTATAATTGTTAACTTCTTATACATTGTGACTTGGATTGAGAGTTGTCTCTTTGGCACTCATACCACATCCTCTTATTTGAATGTACATTTGTTTCAAATATTTCTGCGTCAGTGATATTCTAAACGGCCATGATAATGAAGAGTCATGCCATTAAAATTAATTGAATATACTATATTTACCACGCTTTGCCATAAAAAGAGATCAAATTGCTGAATGACCCCCTCCTAAATTATTAATTTATCATGGCCAGTGGCATTAAGGTCCGTACTGGCCATGATAAATAAGTATAAATTACGTACTAGGGTTAACATTTTGTATAAGGGGATGACCATTTAATTTTTAGGGGGGGGGGGGGTGTTTAGAAAATTAATATTCTAGTAGGAGTTAAAAAATAAATAAGTATGACCATGCAGGATGGAAAAGAATAATCTGCAGGATGCAGGAAATAATTGTGTACAAAAGTTAAATAAATCAATCAAATAGTCGCCCTTTATCAGTAGCTGTATGTATAGATAAGGGTACGTTTTTATCAATTGTCACCTGGTGAGATTGTACAAGGTAAAACGAGGATTCCACATGGCTA